TAATTTCGGTACAACGGTAGCAGCGAAAATTTCATGACATTTTAGCTTCAAGATCTCCTTGGTAATATTTGCCCGATCGGCAAATCCATATGGATAGTAATAAGGGCGTCTCATACCCAAGGGACCATTATGAGTCTACTCTCATCGAGGATTGCTCATGTCTCAACATCTCTGGAACCCATCGCAGCGTCCGACCCGGAATAAAAATCATAAATAGCCATGCACCAAGCTTATTCTATGTTTTTAGTCTAAGCTTGAGGTAGGGTATCTAGCTGCCACTTCTTTTGGGAGTGTCTTTAACCTGGTAGTCGAGCCGAGCTATAAGCTGCGCGCTTTGCGAGTGATTCTAATAGTCTTGTTAGGCATTCCCATGTTTTCCTGTCCCCAGAAAGACCATACCTGATGTAAGAGTTTGCCAGGTTTTTGGCCTCTCTACGAGCGACATAGCTTCTTCTTGGAAAGCTCCGGTCTCCCCTATGTAGGAGCCTTCTGACAGCAGCTTACCACTCAGGTATCACTTGGTGGTGTTTTAGTTCGGTGAAGAGAAGGGCAGCCAATTCTCATCCACCTCCAGCTGATTGAGCAGAAGCTTCAGCCGTCGTGTCCTCAATCATTGCGTCCGGCCCTTCAACAGTCTTGGGTTCCCTAAATGGTCGTCTTTTCTGACGGGGCGCGTTGACAGGAAACCGCTTGACATTGTCGCAGGTCTTGCACTTCATGACCATAACATCGGCCCAAGGCTTCTTCCCGCCCTTGCTCATATTTTCAACCGTCGTAGTGCAAGACATTCCCTCGATGAGCAGTGAGTCACAGAACTTGCACATCATCTGCTTGACCGAAGGGCTCGGGCGAATTTGGGCCTTGAGAGAGACGGCTCGGATATCAGAGACAAATCGACGAGCAACTTTCTCATTTGTCGAGCGCAAGTTTTCGATCCTGGCGAGCTGCGCGTCTTCTTGAGACCGTGATGATGAGTTTTGGAGTGAGTCGGCGCCCGGGATCTGCAGAGTCGCCAGGTATGAGGCGGCCTGATGCAGGTAGGATACCCGCGTATATGCGTGCCGGTTTGGCAGGCTTTCGCTCTTGGGCTTTGCCATTCTCGCTCGTCCTCCTTGCGATTTGTCCCACGTTTCAGACCCTGAATGGCATTGAAGTCTGCGTTGCAACGAGAGTCAGTGTTGGACCTTGTCGTAAAAACTTCTGCAGGGGTGGTGGGGATGTATGGCTGCCAAACATGAGTGTTTCTCCAGTTCAAAGGTTAAGGTTAAAGGCAGGTGTTCACCGTGTGGACCATAGATGGACACGGTCTTCTCAAAAACGGGTCTGGTCACATGACGTCGCCTTTTGGGGGTGAGACTCAGCCGCCTTTCCTTACGCGAAAGCTTTTGACCTGCGCTGCCCGCCTCACCCTTCGCCTCCAGTTCCACGTCGTCCTTGGATCTTCCACTTCCACATCAACTACGGCGCCTCCTTCCATCACGCCCTCCAACCCTGCACCTCGAGTTGCCATCCGCTTTTAATCCCCCCCGCCTGTCGTGCACTTTTCTCGACACGAATACGCGGGTTTTTTCATTCCTGCGATTTTTATAGTCTTTCGACCCTCCCTCTTCACGCGACACAGATCGTCACGCCTCTCCTGACATCTCAAGCTTCGCATCCGCAGCCTTGGGACCTTCCTTTTTCGCCGTTGCGCATCAGTACAACGGCCATTTCTTCTCCGACACTTCAATAACGACACCCCCGACAATTGACAACATGTCTGCTGAGGAGGATCTCATCGACTACTCCGACGAGGAGCTCCAGACCAACGAGACTGCGGCCGCCTCCAACGGAAAGAAGGCTGACGCTGCCGCCGGTAACGCCGTCGACAAGAAGGGCAGCTATGTCGGCATCCACTCGACCGGTTTCCGCGACTTCCTTTTGAAGCCCGAGCTTCTCCGCGCTATTGGCGATTGCGGTTTCGAGCATCCTTCGGAGGGTCAGTCCTGAGTTTATGATACCCTAACCCATACATCATCCCCTCCCCCATCAGCAAAGCGTCCGTCCATCTCGCAAGCCACACAAAGAACAAAAAGCCATCGACGTCGCCATCGAAGAAGAGAGAGAAGAAAACGTACCGAGAAGCGGGAGTCAAGTTGGACATCCAAGTTTTTGTACGGGCACTGCTCGCGAATTCACCGGTGACAGGTGGATTTATACAAGCGGCCGTTTCGGGGGAAGCGTGACAGCACCCCCAGGCTGCGCGAACACTGCGGTGTTCCCGAGTGCACTTCAGTCGGTCGGTCGCTGCTAGAGCTTTGGCTCACGGCGGTCTGGCTTCTTTTGTATCACAGTCGCGAGCGACACGGGGCGCATGCGACGCCGACGCTCGCGACTCGTGCTCTGCCCCGGTCATCATCTTGATTGAATGATTGGCGTATTGTCGTAGTGGAGGAGGAGACCAACTCGACAAAATGGCTTCTTTGCGCAGATGGACGGGCCCTTTGCACGCCCTCTACGTCGTTCTTCTGCTCTTGGAACACATATCTAACTTCGGCGCGATCCAACAGTCCAACAAACCTGTATCCCTCAGGCTCTCCTCGGTGGAGATATCATCTGCCAGGCCAAGTCTGGTCTCGGAAAGACAGCCGTCTTCGTCCTGACCACCCTGCAACAAGTTGAGCCCGTTCAGGGCGAGGTCTCCGTGTTGGTTATGTGCCACACTCGTGAGCTTGCCTTCCAGATTCGCAACGAGTACAACCGTTTCAGCAAGTACATGCCCGATATCAAGACTGGTGTCTTCTACGGCGGTACCCCCATCCAGAAGGATGTCGAGACGATCAAGAACAAGGAGACCTGCCCCCATGTCATCGTGGGCACCCCTGGCCGACTTAACGCGTTGGTCCGCGACAAGGTTCTCCGCCTCGGCAGCGTCCGCATTTTCGTCCTCGACGAGTGCGACAAGATGCTCGATCAGATCGGTGAGTAACGGCCTCACACCCGCCGCCGACCAAACCTCTAACATCAACCAGACATGCGCCGTGACGTCCAGGAGATCTTCCGCGCTACCCCCACCCAGAAGCAGGTTATGATGTTCTCAGCCACCCTGTCCGATGACATCAAGCCCATCTGCAGAAAGTTCATGCAGAACCCTACCGAGCACTATGTAGACGAGGACACCAAGCTCACCCTGCACGGTCTTCAGCAATACTACATCAAGCTCGAGGAGCGCGAGAAGAACCGCAAGCTCAACGAACTCCTGGACGACCTTCAGTTCAACCAGGTCATCATCTTCGTCAAGAGCACCCTCCGTGCGACCGAGCTGGACAAGTTGCTGAGAGAGTGCAACTTTCCCTCCATCGCCGTCCACTCCGGCGTCAGCCAGGAGGAGCGTATCCGCCGTTACAAAGAGTTCAAGGAGTTTAACAAGCGTATCTGCGTTGCTACCGATGTCTTCGGCAGAGGTATTGATATCGAGCGTATCAACCTGGCCATCAACTACGATCTGCCCGCCGATGCCGACTCGTACCTGCACAGAGTCGGTCGTGCCGGTCGTTTCGGTACCAAGGGTCTTGCCATCTCCTTTGTGAGCACTGACCAGGACCAGGAGGTTCTCAAGTCTATTGAGAAGCGCTTCGAGGTTGCTCTTCCGTAAGTTTCTCTCAAAACACTTAGCTTATCTTGTCAAGTCTCTAACGCATTTCTTAGTGAGTTCCCCAAGGAGGGTATCGATGCCAGCACCTACATGGCCTCTTAAGCGCGTCATGCCACAGTTTGGCAGAGTAATCTGCTGGTGTATTTTCTTGGTTCTGGTTTCGGGAAATTGCAAAATTTGGACGTGGGTGACGCACACGCAAAGCGGTCACGCAAAAGGGAAGAAATGAAGCTGCTTTTAAAGTGCAACTGAGAAAAAGTCTATCAAGCCTCTCACGGAGAGGTCTCTTGCTGTTTGTACAGAGTAGTTATCAACATGGAATCAAGACTGGATCACCACGCTCATTGTAATTGATCAATTGTATGATGTTTTTCCCACGACAGGCTCGGTCTGCGGGATGCTACGGCTTAGGCCATGCTGTCACTTTGTGCAATACTCTAGCTTCTAGCCTGGCTTGCAGATGTCTTGTCCGGGCTTGGGTGCCCACGATGACAACGCCTTTACCACGCCGATGAACGCTACCCGGCCCAGTATTCTCCGTTTGAAGTCTAGCACAATACTCGGCCTCCTTTCCTAGGAGGAGGATGATTAGGTGTAGATACTTGTGCTTTCACGTCGTCTTATGGTAAGTGCGCGCTATGTCATCGATGAAAGACTTTACAAGTCAAGCAACTCCAGGGTCTACACCGACTGTATTGAATCCTGCCCTATCTCACAGCCTCTAAACAAAGGTCCCCCATCAAGTGATTAGTGACCTCTGCAAGGTTGCTAGGCACGGTGAAGAAGTGGTTCTGGAGCAGCAACATACTCGGCAACCCGCCCACAGTTGATTTGAATATGCTGACTCGGCTCTCCACTGCGCGAAGGCCGTATCGGTGGTTGTTGTTTCTCAATACGCGGTTGAAACAGCTCTCAAAGTCGCCAAGGGAAAGCTGAGGGAAGGTTCCTCGTAGGTCTTTGTAACCATCATCAAAACAAGAGCAGCCTGGAAGTTTATGAACATAGTTGTCACTGCTTACCTATTCCACTGGCAATACATGAGAAGCAGCACTGCTTGATGGCGAATAGCCTAGACTGGTATGTGTAGCTAGCGGAGAGCTGTCAGAGGTCACGTCCGCGCTGGGACACTTCACCCGGCCTCTTTTTTGCTCTTTCCTGTCAGAAGGTTGTTGCATCTCGGAGGTGTAGCAACATCTCGGAGGCCCTAAATGGTGAAGCGACACTAGGCAAATGGTAAGGGGAGGGGGCTTTGATATCGTCTCACGGCCGGCCCCTTGATAAGAAGTACGGTGTTTAGAAGTCGCAAGTCTAAGAAGAGCTAAGAAAGCTGATAATCGCTGATACTACGCCCTGCCTACGATGCATTCTACTGCATAATGGTTGTCAAAGATCTTTGGAGGCAAACATTGTTTCGATACTTGATGCAGAACGGTTCAGCGTGTCCCAAAGTCATTCGATGGCTCATGCTTGCTGCGAACCCACAACATCTATGTCTGCTTCTCGCAACGTAGAGGCCCCTGCCATAGAAACGCTGTCGCAAACGGCTTCTAGAGGTGTCTTGTCTTGGAGCTGGGTCGTCATCACAGTCTTCCGCTATCAATTGTTGCCGAGGGTACATTACGCGTACGAGAGCAGAGAGAGACCAGGAAAGGATCGAACTTTATGCATCACCATGTCTAGAGTCCAGTAATTGGGCTCCTAGTGACCACGCTTTGACACTGTCACTATGATCACGACCTCGCCACATCGTCTTCAACATAATTTAGCACATGCTTGCCATACTGGTCGCACAGAAATGACACCATTCCCATCTGCAAGATAACATAAGGAATCCCGAGTGGGTTGCTCACGGTTCTCATTTCCAGACGCTTCTTTCCTCGCCCTGATGCGCCCATCAAAGCACACACCAGACACGAGCCCTACCATTGGAATCAGAGCCGACCAACTAAGCTGTTCCAGTAGTAGTTCAGGTGATTTCCGGTACTGAGAGCTCAGTTCCCGACGCGAATATTGAGAGACCCTTTCTTTGCAGGATCCTACAGTGTCTAAGAAGGCAACCATTAGATGTGGGAAGACCTTTTTCATTCTTCTGTTGTGCTACTAACTGTTAGCCTGTCGGCCCCCCTGAGTCGCTCCTGGAGCATCGACTCAAAGTCTTGATACATGATTCACTATATGTAGTCCTTGCATGCTCCACCCCTTTAGCTATGGAGTACTCTTCGCGGAATATGTGACTGGCAGAGGACAGCAATTCGGGGGACTTAGAATTTGGAATCGAGCATCGATGCTGTCGTGATACATCTATAAATCTTAGGCGAAGCAACATAGTGAGCAATATAGTGAGTGGAACCCATGACTTTCAGTCCGAGAGTTTATGTTGCCTGATTTTCATTCCTTGAGCTACTACAAGGTTTATCTATACCTTCAATTTCCAATCTCTTTCCTCAGTATTACATGCAGAATATCGTCTGGTAGTGTTCTCCCTTGTGAGGGGAACACATTTCCCTATGATTCCCAACATGATTGGTTTTGGGGACAGCGTCACTAGTTATCAAGATTAAAATCCATCTTGCAACAAAAACTTCGCTCCGCAGCACAATCTGCTTCTACGTCGCGAAGGGAGGATAGGAAACGAGTTTCATGGCCAGGGTAATCTGATAACTGTCAACTTGGAAACTCCAGCAGAGCGAGTATTGTGCACCTTTGATAACTACGGTTCCACCATCAAAGTCTTCAGACCTCACCTCGACCTCGACATGTAACATCCAGCCTCGCAAATTTCCCAACCAAACAGCCTCAGCATGCAAACATGTCCATCCCTAAACAGAAACCACACGCCAAAACTCTGCGTAAGTATCGCAGCAACCATGGCCGTCATTGTCGAGCTATCTCATACCCTTTTCCCTTACACCAGCCCGACCCAGATCCGAAAGCCCTCCGACCGCCAGAGAAGAGAAAGCTTACATCAAGAGTCATCACATCCCCCCATGACACCCAAGGAAAACTCTTCAATCAGGCATGACTTACACAGAAAGGGACACAAATCCTCTTCGTCCCTCCACACCTTTCTTCCTCCCGCTTCCAAGCGAGGCCAATAACCCAAAGTGGCCGTCTCACCCGTCACCTCCCGAGGAACGGCCAAGCCAGGCAGAAAACACCACGAGGCCTCAAAACGACGATGATTCACATGCTTACCCGTACTCTCCCGTGCTCCTCTTGCTTCCCTCACTCTTCAACGGAATGGGTAGATAGCTAGCTAGCCTCGGTCCTGAATCGGCCTCGTTGCCTACCTGCCTACCTGCCTACCTGCCTACCTGACTGCTAGGTAAGTCATTTATTACAGAGAATCACCAGCCGGTAACTGTAGAAAATTTCACATATATTACGAGATCACATATGACGCATCAAAAGCAACGAAGCAGACGATGCAAAAAACCTAGCTACCATGCACCAACTCCATGTCAGGCTCCCAACCTCGATTTCACCAATATCAGCCTTAGCCAGATAACAAAGTCAGCCTACATACCAACCAACAAAGCCTCGCAGCCTGACCCCTCAAAAGCGGCTGAAAGACATTATACCGCCCAGCCTGCAAGACAGCCTGCCGAACCTATGTCATACGCAACAAAAGTACAAGGCTTGGCCAAACGCAAGCGCCGCATACCCGGAAAGCCAAAAGCCTACTTTCACTTTTCCTTTTCGCATCTTCGTACACGGCTATGAACGTTGGCATGCTGCCGTGCCGTGATCGTGGCGTCTTCATGTTGGACTCCGCTCCGCAATGAAATGTACTCCGTAACGTATCCGTAAATGACCTTTGTAAAATCCCACAATCATTGTCATAGTTCCCTGTAGTCTGCCTGCCAGCCCGTAAGGCGCATGCGTTTTTCTTTGATAGCCTTACGTTTCCCATGTTCGTCGCAGCAAGGAAAAAAAAACACAGCCACAAAAGGAGGCTGAATCAAGCGCGGGCAGCCAACCTACTCTAAATCTCTACGTTTTTTCTGCTTTCGAATGCTGGCTGGCTTTCCTGCTGCGCCTGCGCCTGCGTACGCGCGCCTACCTTCACTGGGGACAGCCGCGTCCGCCGTGTGCCTCGGTTACCAGCACCTGGGGTCCCTTACGAATGCAAAGACAGAGCATCGTGGACTCCGTTCGAATGCGTGCTAAAAGTGTACCGATACTCTAATTACAATTAAGGGAAGAAAAAAAGAGGGACCCTGAGGAGCCGAGAGACTTCGTCACTGGACACAAGTCTTCCCACCGCGAGTCGTGCGCGAAACCCAAGATCTGGGGCAAAAGCATATCCGGCGGGGAGGGGACAGAGGCCAAGACTCAAAAATGGCCGCAGGGCCGCAGCGACTCCAGCAAGCTGTCACGCGGGAGCCGGATAGGTGGGCGGTGGAGTCTCGGATTGCGCAAAGCGGGAACCATTGCAGCTAATCGACACGGTTTCGACAAAGAGTTCGGAACACCTTGGCCCTTTCTGCCTCCGATCGTTCGGGCTCGCTTTCTACGGGAGAGGTCGGGTTGAAAGAGGCATCGTAGGTTCAACCGTCCAGTCCAGTAAAATTACCTCTTCGGACTTGTCTCCCCCGCAACGGGCCATATTTGCGGTGATAAGGACAGCACATCGTAAGAGTCATTCTCTATGACAGAGAGGATAGGTCGCTTCCATGTTGACACGTCGGCGAACCGGTGACTAAATCGCCCACGCTGTCCCTCTATCGCCGACACCGGTCCATTTCCTCCTCTTGCAGAATCCACAGTGTTCTTCCCAAACCTGAGGCCGCTGGAGCGATTGCGTGCACGCGGTGCTACCTGGCGGGTTTCGACAAGGGCGTGACGGCGGTGATGCGAACTTGTGAAGTTTACACGATGCTCCGCGTCGCTAGGCTGGTCCAGCCCTGTCCCGAGATTCCCAGGGAGTCATTTGCCCGAGGCTGGGGGGGACACTTTCGTCCTCGCATTTTGTAAAACCCTACTCCGTACTGTTCAAGGGATTTCGCGCTTCATGACGTCTAGACTAAGACCGGAGCTGTGTGTTAGCCGCTGGCGCCCGGGGGATCAGATCTGAGATGAGATTCACGCCGTAAGCCCATGCAAGGCTACTGCTCAGCTGCCTGCGCGTGAAGAATTGCACAATGGATGAGGGATGGCTGGGCTGCCTGTTTGACAATGACCTGTTGAAGGGTCCCCATAGGCTGTCGTGCCGAGCCAAAAGGCCAATCAGTATCCATACTCTGTAGGCCCCTCCTACTGTTCCCTTGGTGATTCGCCTTGTGGTGCCGGTGAAGCTGGGGTTGCAGACGGGTGGATGACATCCAATCCATGCTGCTGCCTGGTTCAGGATTTGGGAGGACGGGCCCCCAAAGGGCTCGGTGATCCCTCGCCCGTAACAAGTGGGTGAGAGCGGTCACCAGGAATAGACAGATAGATCCATTGTTGAAGCAGGGTGGCAAGGTGATTCGCCCATCAACTCTTCTCCGGGTCCGTTTTCCATGCGAGCATGTCTCATCAACGGTGCCCGACTAAGAGTATCTAACTGCTAAGGCTGTGGAAGTGGACGCCTCGACCTTGATTCTTCGGATAGGCCTCCGGAACCCCATCGTCGACGCCAGCGTCTCTCCATTATACCATAGATAATACCTTACGGATGACGACGAAGGTAGTCGGACTTTGGGACGTGGCTGGAATGGCCCCCATATCGTTAGTAACGCCGCCTGCAGAGCTGAAGGGTCACGCGAGGTGCCGCTGTCGCGTCTCTCCAACAACTCAGCTCACGGATAGCCGTGAAACCAGGCTCAAGTTCCCACAGGCTGCGCCGCTAGCGCCAAGCTGTCTGAGTGATGGCCTCGCAGAATCGAGGATCGAGGGGACGAGATGCTAGTAGGCAATCTGACTGCTCACGCTAGTTCACGTCTTGCTTACAGGAAACAAAAAGACAAACGTCCCAATCACCGACACTTCCGGGGCAGCGGACTGTTCTCCACCTTCCATACCTTGGTGTGGAATACGTTTGGACTGCCGCTTACTGTGCTTGCCTCCTCTTGATGTTACTGAACAGCAGGCCGTTCAGACGACTTTGCCAGTTCACATAGTATTAGCCAGGCGGGGGGGGGGGGGGGCAAAATGAGGGGTTCCGTCCGCCACCAACAGCTTGTCTAACGTCAATATTGGCCAAACTTCACTCGCTAGCTCACCTGAGTGACGGCAAATCGCCGGCGACGAAGCGTGACTGAAGCCTAGTGGTGTAATCACGTCCCCGCAGTTGATGACTTATGAGTAAATGGCGTCGACAAATGACAATTTCTCGATTTGACAAGCGGTGTTCCGTGGGATCACGCTGACGGAATAACGGCAGACGTCTCTCCACATGTCGAAACCTCCGCATCACGGGTCTGCGTTGCGTTTCTCGCAAACAAGTCGCTCAACATCACCATCGAGTGATGTCTATCCGTAGATCTCCCCATTCACCAACACGCGGGGTGATCCGGGTGGGACGTTCAATGTCTCCAGACTCCAGATTCCCGACTCCAGAGGGCACGAGAAGATCACGGAAAGGACTCCTCGCTATCGCCGATGTCCGTAAGCGAGCCATATCAGGGAATATTTGTATCGCTGGGCCTTAGTCATGCTGAAAAAGAGCGAGATTGTCGCTCAGATGAGGTGTGCCAGTCGAGCTAGAAAGCCGCGATCTTCTCGAAGCCTTCCGCTTTAGACCGCTCGAGGCCCTTGGTTGGCCTGGGCCAACCGATTCTTTTCAGCAGGCAACCAAATTTTGTCTCGGTGACTCCTTTGGTGTGTCGCACTTTGTGTATCTGAAAACCAGTATGGTGTGTTGTTCGAGATCGAATGCGCACCATCAGCGAAAAGTCTTCATGGTCCGGTGCAATGTCGAAGCGAGTTTTACCGAAAGGCTAGAACGGCGTGTAGCTGAAAAGAGTCATACGAATATTGGGTTGCGCGCCGCGCTGTTCGAACTTCGAGGCTTGAGCTGTAATCCAGCTCACCGTTTGCTTGAGTCGTGTGCATCAGCCGCGCGGCAAACCACGGCAGCGGTGTCATGCAACTCACCGTCGTCGTTCTCCCTCAATAGTAGCAGCGTGTCTCCGTTGAAACCATCGTGAACATGATACAGTCATAGCATAGGCCTTTGCGAAAACTCCTTATCTCGTGGGCCGAATCGAGCGAATCCGAGAATCTAAGGGGATGCGCAAACGAAGCCTCGCTTTTCATGCCACGGCGCTGTGGAGACGCAAGTCTTCAAGCCGCCACATGATAGGAGAGCATCCCTCTGCTTCTTTGATTTCTTTTGTCGAGGCTTGAGACGTATTGAGAGCATGAGAACCCGGCGCTCATTGGTCAAAGAAGATCACGTATCACAGGGGGCTTAGGATGTTAAGAGCCTACTCGCGATCCCGTACGAACTGGGAAACAACATATGTGCCTCTTTGCAAGGCACACGCAAGTCTTTGGCTTCACGAGGGACATCCACAGTCCTCCGTAAGACAACGAACCTGTTGCACGGAATCCGATCATGTGTACGGATATCGTAGAATTCCGTCCTAGCTTGGAGAACAGATCTCCACGCTATTGTTCTGCTCTCGGAGTAAGCTCCTCGGGCGAATGAGATTTCGGACAGACAACGGTGAGAGTTTGTCCAATGAGCGCCAGCTGTGTGTTCTTCGCCCCTCTTTATCTCCCCTTCATCGACGCTGCCCTGCCGCCGAACGACAATCTGAGTTCGTTGGCCTGCATCCAAGACGGCAATGCTGGACAGATTGAGGACAGCCCTCCAATGAAGGTCTGCCGCGGGGCGGAGCGGGGCTGGCTGCGACGGAGGTGTGTGACATGGCAATACCAGTAAAGCTGCAGGCTTTCCTGCAGCTTGCAGCTAGACCGAGTGATGCCTGCGAACTGCACAAGGGGGGCGGTGGCCAGATGACGGCATTTCGAGGCAAGCAGACTCGGATCTTCACGTTCTCCCTCCCCCCTTCAGCAAACTTGATGCCATTCCCGGCCCCCAACTTCTAGAAGATTCATAGCTATGAATATCCGTTGGTGGGGAGAAGTTGTGAGATATTTGAGGGAGCATATCATCAACCCGGCCATTTTTGGTGTACGCCCGGAGTATTGCTTGACAAGCCTGACAAGGTACTTGAGGAAATACTGGGCAATGATGCCAAAGCTTGCAGGTTCGGTACGAATCGGAACAAATCTCGTAGTCGCCGGGGTTTAAACTGGCGGTCGGTCTCCCGCGCGCCCAGCCGTCTCCATTTCTGCCCAGTACAGAGCCACGAGTGCAGTCCGGCGGGCGAGACGAGTCGGTACATATAGCCCATGTATTGAACTGAAGAAGCCAAGACCATCAGGCGAATGAGCAACAGCAGCCGCCCAGGACCTTTGGCACTGATTGGCTGCTTGTCTCTCCCGCAGCGTTTTCCGTATACTTCTTGACAAACAGAGTGCTCCCTGTCCTGTGTCCCCTGTACTCCTTGCCCTCTTGATACTGACACTTTGCTCTGGTGCTCCCCTCTTATCTGGGGCCAGGTACTTCCAGCAAAGTATAGAGCATCCATGGTCTGCTTGGGTGACTTGTGCACATTGTGCACCTTTCTCGCAATGAAGATATGCAGCGTGTGGGGGTTTAGCTTGAAAGTACTGCCTCAGGTCGTTCCAACATGATTGACCTCACAAAAGTGTATCAGGGTTCTCGCCTGGGATGTTTCGAGGCATCTATTTGAAGGTCAAGCAGGTGTAATGTGTTTGAAGACCAGGCAAGAGCCATGCTTCGCAAACATTTAATATCATTCTCTATGTTTAAGGAATGATTTGAAGCGTGAATGGCCTTGTGCTTATTTGCGAGACGACTGCGTCTTTTTAGAAAGGATGCAACGTGCAACCACGTAAGCAGTTGATAGACAAGACGCGCAGACGGCACCCTCGGGTCGTGGAAGGAGGGACAAGATGGCAATATCGAGCTGGAGGATTATCGAAGAGTGAGGCTTGGTCTGTGGATCCAAGATAGGTACTCCGTAGAGGATACGTAAAATGAGATGGATGCTGGTGACAGTGTGGCTGAATCCACCGGATGCGATCTGTTCCATTGTCCCCGAGACGTCCGTGTTTTGTGAGAGTCCAAAACCAAGTTGGTGCACCCGTATCACTGTAGCTTATTAGACGGCTGACAAAGATGTAAACTAGGTAGAGCGGCTGAGAAATCGCCTCTGAGAAAAGGAAGCGCCGGAGACGCGCAACTGGCATGCCGTGGTCCGTAAGCGTCCCGTCGAGCGTCTCTTTTGACCTTTGTAATTCAGGAACAAAGCTCTGAACCTGAAGCGGAGTTCGTGGCGGAATCTGAGGGGGCGCACTTCGGTATCTCGGGGCTTGAGGAACCACTGAGTGTCACGGGAGCCCGTCGTCGGCGGACAAGTTGCAGCGCGGTATCCGTACCCAAGTTGGAGGATGAACCCTTTCTCAGCGACAGTTTGTCATGCTCCAGGCTTGCAAAGACCACTGAGCCACTGGGGTTTGGGCTCTGAGTGTGTATGAGGTCACTGTCTAGGGAGGATTCTGAGGACCCTAGAACGACCCGTCCAGAGGCCCATCGTTCCTGTATGGATACCTGATGGAGCTCAGGTTGTCGACCTCGGCAGGAAGTTCCGTCGGCTCTCGATCAGTAGTCCGACAGCGAAATTGGGGTGATATCATCGTTGGACGCGCTCTACGGCATTTCGGTGGAAGAGTGCTCGCGATGGTAGGGGCTGACGCCCTTTGAATGTTGCTTTGACTTTGTAAGCCGGGCCGCAGTATTCATACACTGAGTACTCCGTATGCCCCATCAGTGGTCAGGTCAATGTCTGCATGGCCGTGTAAACTCAACTCGGTAGCCCATCGAGATTCGCCAACAGCGCTGATTGGAGCTGACGCTTTTGTGTGGTGCGTGCGCGTGTCGGTATCTCTCGTAGGTGATTTCTGGCTGTGGCTAAGGTAATTAGGAGCATTGCGGTTGGCTGGCTTGCTTGCCCCGATTCCCCGAGCTCTCAAAGGGTGTGTGGTGGCATGATGAGACAGGATGATGGCACGCAATCTCTCCCCCCTCGAGATATTCCTCTGGATCAAAGCTTGGTTGTCTAGTGGCGAGACTTTGGGCGAGACAACAGCTGTTGTCAGTCGATTCTTCGAAGATTGTCGCGTGCGCCGGGGGTCGAGTGGGTTCGCTTGCAGCTCGCCGGATTAATAAATCGAAAATGTTCAAGGCCAATATCTCGTTGAGACCAGACTCGTGATACCCTCATAAGCACAAGCCGTGGCGTGTTCATGCTTACACGAAAGACACGGCGTGCTTCATCCCCAGGTTGCAAGGGTTATCGAAGGTCTGTGTCTCTATCTCATCCTGCAAATCTGGGTTTGTCGCCTGGCTGTAATTGCAATAACCAAATAAAGGTGGCGCTATAGCTGGAGCAGGTGTGGATGGGCGGAAGAGAAAGGCATGGGTAGGTCGTTGAAAGAGGGCGTCAATGTCTGCAGATTTCGAAGTCCACGGCACAGGATGAGGATTGATTGCGATGGCGTGGCGGAGGGGGGGCTTGATGGTCAACGATGACTCTTTCCCCCCCTCCTTCCCTGCGCTAGCATCCGTGCCTGCCACGCTGCCTTACCCCGGGGGGCTCCTTCTCTCTCTTGCAAGTTGCAACTGCACCTCAGTCTGCTCCTGCCTGGCCGGCTTGGGGCTGGGCAGCAGCAGCCATTCAGCGGTGCAGCTTGCCAGAAACCACAAAGGCTGGGCCACTGCAGAGGGTGTGTTGCTGCCGCACACGAGTGGTTGAGAAGCCATTTTAGGCTTGGCGGGGCTAACCTCAAACGACATGGCGTGGAACAACTTTGACCAATCAAGAAGGAGGTTACGACGTGAGCAGCCACTTGGCGACGGAAGATGCCAGAGCCAAAATAGTCGTGCAGAAGATTTGACGCAGGCCGTGAGGGGATAGCGAACTTGGGAAGAGCTCCAAGCTCCAAAAGCTCAGGCACCGGAGCAGAAAGCCAGACAGACAGACCCCAAGGTTGCTAGGCATCAAGGGGCGGGATGAATGCTACATGGAACGAAATGGAAATGGATACCTTACTTTGCAGTACGGTACACAGTCTACCACAAGGTCACAGTGCCGTTTGGTCTGGTTGGTGGCGATGGAAAGTTCGGGCATCATCTCGGGCTTTTGGGCCGGGTGGGAACAGAAGCAGAGATACCTGAACGGTCATGGGCATGAGAGGACAAGCACCGAAGCAGGTAGGAACGCAGTTGATGATTGAGCAGTTTGGGGCCTTGGCCAGAGAACAAGCAGAGAACAGATAACGACCTGAGGATAGCAACACTGGAATAGACACATGAGAGGTGGGTAAAGTGGAGTTTGGGTATGCAGCTACCAATATGTGAGAGAGTGTGAGTAAGAGGAGGCAAGGGCATTTTGGGGGCATTTGGTGTGTGTGTGTGCTGCGTGAGAGGTGTGTATGAGTAGCTGGATGAGTATGAGTAATAGCAGTAAAGATGAGTGAGGAGCAGCGAGGGAAAGACACACTCGCTTCCAGATGAGAAAGAGAGGTGGATGAGAGTGTGAGTCTGAGAGCAATGGAAAAAGAGTGGAGACGGTGGCTATTTTTTTTTTTGGTTTTCAATATGCCCTCCACCCCGGGAAGGAGAACGACGCGACCCACTTTGTATCACTGTATGAGCCAATGAAAAGACAGACGAAGAAAAGACAGTGGCCGAATGCTGAGACTCGCTGGGTGTTCCGGGCCCCGGCTGCATCCTTTCTCTCAGGTCTCCCCTCTCCCCTCTCTTTTTCTTTCCCAGGGAAACCGAGTGAGGTGTGAGGTGAGGTGAGGTGGTAGTGGCCAGCAAGAGGTCGGTGCAAGGCAATTGCAAGTGGCAGCAAGTCCCCATCTGCTCCTTCCCACCAACCCTTAGGTACCACCCTTCTACGCCTTCCAGCCTTCGAATCAACGTGTGCACAAATTCCCAGGTTCCAGTTCCCAGTGGCCCACACCAGTTTCCCATACCAGAATCCAGTGTCCGGTACTTGTCTCCATGTACCTTTGCCCGTCCCGTCCAATGTATCTTTTTCCTACCGGGCTTGCTCTTGCCTGTATCCGTACCGTCGCGACGACAGCAGGGTCAGAGTGAAAGAGAGAGTAGGAGAGACCTGCCCGTGGAGTCTGGCTGGGTGTGTGAGTGCTCCCCCAGGCATTCAAAACTATCGCCGCGCCCACATCGCCGTGCACCTATGTCCTCCCCCCTTCCTTTTCCTTTTGATCCATCGAACAATCGCCATCGCCATGTTCGATTCCAAGGTCTAAATTTGTACGACAGCGACTCTCCGAAGTCTGCTAGACGTGC